GATGGCTTCTAAGGAAGCCGTCGTCTGCGCCTTGTCTGTCGTGTGAATCGTGCGTGTGCGAGAGCCTTTTCTTGTGAAATTCTTTCTTGCTCGGGCCACTGAAATTCTGCAAAAGTGGCCGGCCCCTGCGAGTGTGTGTGTAAACCGCCAGTGGCAGCACTGGTGGCAGTTATCGGCTGTGCGGCCGTCGCCGCGGCTCGTCTCTGCCGCGGCGGCTGCTGCGCGCACGCGGCGGCGCCGCTCTCTCGCGAGACGGCTGGCGACGCGGCTCGCCGCCGACGTACGCTGCGCTCGTCCGACCGACCGCGGCGTGGCGTGCGCGGCGCTGCGCGCCGCTCTGCGAGCGCTTCTGCGCTGAATCGAGCACGGCGGCGAGCGCGCCGCGAAGACGGAGTGTAGCCACGCATACATCAGGCCAGATTAGGTCAACCCCTCGTCATTGGCTCGTCCGACGCCCCTCCGCCGGACTCCGCCCGACCTAGCGACGGCGACCTACCGACGGCGAGCGGCTCATAATGATTTTGCATATTGCATAGCGCTCTAGTGAAATTCCATGCTCATGCATTCGCCCCCCCCCCCCCCCCCCTACCTTAAGGGATACCTTCAAAGGTACGGCATGTGACGTGGGCCGTAGATAGCCGAGAAGCCGGAGCCGAGAAAGCCCTGTAGTCAATTCAATTGGTGGTCCAAGTCACCTCGTGTACAAAACCAACCTCGTGTACTGCGCGCAGAAAAAGAATTCTGAAAAGCTAAAAGAAAAAGAATCGGTCCAATAAGAAATTCAGAATTCGCCGCAATCCTCTCCCTAAAATCCCTGTAGTGTGGGTGGTGTGGCGTTGGAGGCCCTGGGGATGGGGATTCACATAAACGCACAACCCCGGGACCCAACTCCCAAGGCCAAGGCCCAAGCCGCAGAGCGCAGACCTCTGCGGTATGTGTCGCCCCAGAGTGCGACAGAGTCAGAGACGACAACACCAGAGACGTTTTCGTGTTTCACGCGGCCCGAAAGAGGGACTACCTTCCCGAAAGAATTTAACAAATACAACTCTGACTAGCACACAGCCGACAGGCACTCCGAAAGAAGGAGAAGAGGCCTGGCTGCAGCGGCCAGCGCCCCAGCGGTTACCTGCTCTCTGCCTTCAATTCTTGTACGAGCAAGAACGACGGCGCAGATGCGAGATGGCAAACATCGGCATGCCATCTGTGCGGTGCAGCAAGTTTTTTGTGGGGAGGGGGCTGGGGAGCAGGTTGCTCACCCAGGTGCCCTCCCCAGATGGAAGCTGCTAGCACGGCATCAGCTGCGGCCAGTCGAGCACGACTTCCTCCATCTCGAGCGCCTGCTCGCAGACCTTGGTATCAGAAGACACTGCCTCCTGGTGCGGTGCGCTGGTCTATGAGTGGGTACGGTGTGTGCCCTGGAGGCCCTGGGGATCGGGAGGGGCTACTCGCGGGCCTAGAAGGCCCGCATGCA